CAGTGGACAGGGAAAAGTCTACGCTGTTAATTAAATACCAGAGGCATCTTCAAAGATTCATGTTTATTTTGCGGTGCATTTCCCCAACAAAAAATTAATACAGTCGACTCACGTCAATTTTGTATTTTGCGCAGTATGTTTAACGTTTATTTATTGCTGCTTTTATGCCCGAGGTACTTGTCTTTTCTTCCCCTAGGATAATTAAAATAAATAACCATGCATAGACTTTTCGTGGAGTCCAAGCCATTTCTAACTTTTTCCGGTGGAACGAGTTCCGGTCCTGCGACCATTTGCTGCCCAATTTGAGGATCATTTGCGGTCCGGGGATCATTTGCAGGCCTGTACATGCCAGTCATCGACATTTGACTCATACCACAGGGACACCAAGTAAAGAATGTGGAAATAGTAAACTGACAATTAACATCACGTTTATTTTGCCTGGATCACTACAAAAGTCTACCTGATACAATTTCGCTGACTTAAACTTCATCGTCTTTCTTTTAAAGTGATCTCATCACTTGTACAATAAAACTACAATACATACTGTTCTCATCAGGAAGAAAAGTCACTTGTCCTTCAATACAGTGAGGTACAGTAATAGATTACATAATAAGGAAACTTCAAGCATCCACTATGACAGATCCACGGCATTCTTTAACCATATTGCTTGAAAAACAACTGAAAAAAAAAAAGAAAAGAAAAAGAAAAGAGTGTGATCTGCCTGACTTCAACGAGCAAACCTATAGACCAGCGCGCATTATCACTTACTTGTCTTAAGTTAAATACACCAGTATTTGCATTNAAAAGAAATCTAGACCGCTATACTGCTTCACACTTTTTGAATGAATACATTACTCAGTACAATGATTCGTTATATTTTTCTTTGAAAAACGTTCCATTAAAAAAAATCGAATGCGCTTTTAGAAATGCAATACATTGATAATCTATAATCATCATACACTGCGCTAAATTGAGTATTTTTAGAAAATCTTTCATAGTAGAAAAAATTATTTTATAACGCTCTGGTACTAAAACAATTATTTTTGAACAAAGTTGGAGGCGCGAACTCTTCACTGTTATCCCTAATTTGAACATCTATATTACATTAGTTCTTATACGCTTTATGAAACCTTAAAACATGTTAGCCTGAATTTCAGACATCTCCTCCAGTCACACACTAAAATAATGCAGACATTGCTGTGAATGTGTACAAAACTTGTCCAAACTTATGATTAGGTTCAAGTTACATGTATAGTCTGCAATGAATTAGACCTTAACTAATATTCACAAAGAATCCCTACACTAGACCCTAGTTTAATATAACTAACATATTCATTGTTGAAAATATACAATTCTAACTAGCTATCAAATATTACCAATTTAACATTATAAAATTAAATGTCTAGAATAGTTTGACGAAAAATTCACTGAATGGCCGCCGACGTAATTCTTCGCAGAACAACTTCAAACAATGATTATTTTTCAATAAATTCTCACGTAGTTTCTAGTAAGTGGTGCTCCTAACGTTTTCCAGTTTTTGCATCTATTCTAATCAAGCTATATTACGTCGTGCTTTATCTCTACAAATTTGTTTCAAAAATTATGAACTTGTTTCTAATTTCATAAAAATAAAATTCTCTGAAGTATTTTCGGTTACTGTATAACACAAACAATTATTTCGCTGCTCAGCCCGCTTTTTTACCGGATGTGACGTGACTTTTTGGTGGATGATCGAAACACAAAAAAGTGCCAGGCGTCGCAGAGTGTTCTCCCTCGCTCCTGAACACAAACACATTCCATTTTCTCCTTGGTTCGTTCAGTAACAAAGTAGATTTTGAATCAAAGGAACGTGCGGAATAGACTGGACACGTGATTTCAACTTCCGGTGCTCGCGTTACCATCTTCACAGTAAGATCAAGACAGGTTTTTGTAAGCTTCACGCTTGCAGACTCTGTACTCAGCCCTTTTAGTACGCCACCTTGGCTTTGCTAAATCTATCTACTCTACAATACTTTGTCTGACAGTCAACTGCTTTGTTCTGACCATGTTTCGAGGTCATCTGTGCAGAACTGCACAGACGCATGGCAAAATGAAGTCCATTTGTTAAGCTTCAAATTATTCTTTATATCTTGTAATATTACTACCGAAAACAACTTGGTTGATTAAAAAAAATTCAGGTGGAAAATTTCTCCTGTGAAGGACAATGCCATGACGGCCTCCAGGACACGGCACGGTTTGCTGGGACTAAAGAAGAGGCACTGCATCCTGCCATGCTTTTTGGTAGAACGAGAAGCGCGAAGTTCGCGCTCGTTACTTGCACATTGGAGGCCCTGGCAAGCTTCCAATCAATCTAATCATCGTGTTCACCATCACTGCCACCATCACTGCCACCATCACTGCCACCATCACCATCATCTTCATACGAAGAGTAGAAATATGTGAAGCTCGCGAGCTCTCCCCATTCTCCCACGCCATTTTTAGATTCGCTCCAGACCTTCTGTTCAAATACTGATCGTCACCCGCGTTCGCAAAAAATACGACTGTTTCGAGGTCTACAGCAGCATCATCATTATCATCATCATCGCCGCCGTCATCGTCGTCGTCATCGTCATCATCGTCGTCGTCGTCGTCATCGTCATCGTCGTCGTCATCGTCATAGTCGTCATCATTATCTTCATCGTCGTCATCGTCCTCATTATCGTAATAATTGCAATAATCACCGAAATCATCCAGAACTTCCAAGTCGTAGTCATCAATCATCCCAAGACAAGAACACTTCTGCAAAAGATAGGTACATCAATACATTGTTCGAGCCGACCAGCAAATTGTGTGAAAGCAATAAATGAGGGAGAAAGGCAAATCAAGAAATAGGGGCATTAATCATCATTTCTAAAAAAAGCTTTTTGGATACACGTCACGTGAGTAAAACAGCAGAGGAAAATAAATCACAGCTTCTCTATTTACGCACGCGAAAGAAAAAGCGAGCGAAACGAGCGCGAAGCACGCGGGGGTGGAGGGTGGGGTTTGCGACATCTTTGGTAACAAGATCTTTAAGATCTTACAACCGCGCTTTTAAAATTTAACTGTTTTCTTAGCTCTACAGTCGCAATGCAAGGCAGATTCCAAAGCAGT